ACAGGGAAATAGAAACAGAGGGATTCCACTTTGGAAATTACCTCTGTGTATATACACGCCCATATGTGGGGAATACCATGTGTACAGGGATCCTCACTGCAGCATTGTTTATAATAGCAAAGGGATGGAAATAGTGCAAATGTCTTTCAGTAGAGAATTAGGGGTTAGGTAATGTGTTATGGTGTATCCATTATAAGTACAATATATATTGTACAATACATATGATGATATGGAGTTACACTGTAATGGTAAAAAGCAGAGTGTGGAATAGAATGTGTAGTATGTTTCAATGCCCTTTTTCAAAGGCAGAAAGTAAGTGCATGTGCATAGAAAAATAAAAAATTGTACCCCATAAATTGTCAGTATTGGTTGATATGCAGAGGGAAATATGGCAACAAGGAGATGGGCTGGGAGGGTGACTTACTTTCACTATATCCATTTGTAACTTTCAGATACGGTACTATATGCTGTATTGCCTATTGAAAGTTTATTAATTTATTAAAATCAAATGGATCGTGGGTCATAATAAAAAGAGTTAATCATAATTTTTATCTCAGGTCATCCAGGTAGATGTTTTAGTGGATGACAGATTGAAATGTGAAAACTAAAACTGTAAAGCTCTTGGAAGAAATAGCTCTTCCATTACCTTGAGGTAAGCAAGATTTCTTAAGCAAGATTCAGAAAGCTTGAACCAGTAAAGGAAAGAAATTGATAATTGGGGGATATTAGGATTAAGAGCTCTTATTTATTAAAAACACCATTAGGAAAGTGAAAAGGCAAGCCCCAGATTGGAAGAAGATAATTGCAATATGTATTTCTGATAAAGACTCAAACAGAATATGTTAAGACCTTCTACACAGAGTAAGAAAAGAGCAGACAATCCAACAGAAAAATGTCTTGAACAGGTACTTCACATAGAGAATATTCAAATGGCCAGTAAACAGATAAAGAGGTGTTTGACTTTTTTAGTCATCAGGGAAATGAAAATTAAAACTACAGTGCAGTACCACCCCACACCCAGCAGAATGGCTTAAAAAGAAAGAAAAAAGACTACTTAGTGTTGCTGAAGATATGGAGCAAACTGAACTCTCACATACTCTTGTTTCTGAAAGTAAATTGGTACAAGCACTTTGGAAAATTGTTTGTCAGTATCTGTCAAAGCTACTGAAACCTATGATTTCCTCTGGCCCAATAATTCCACTTCCAAGTTAACACCCAACTTGATCATTTCATAGAATGTTCATAACAATTTCATTGGAAACAGCCCCAAAGTGAAAGCTACCCAAATGCCTGATAGAATGGATACATAAATTGTGATATAGTTACACAGTGGAATGTTACAAAATAATGAGGGTAAATGATCACAGCTACAAAACAAAATGGATGAAACTCACAAGCATAATGTTTAAATGAAGAAGCCAGGCCCAAGAGAGTCATCCTCTTAGATTCCATTGATGTTAGTTATAATAATAGACCAGACAATTGTGTTAGGTTTCATCGGGATAGCTATTACTCTTGATGGGGGGAATAACTGGGAGAAGGGGACATGAGAGAGACTCTGGGCATGCTAGTGGTGTTCTTTTTCTTGATCTGGTTCCTGCATTCAACTTGTGAAAATTAATTACATGCACTTAATGACTGGTCTACTTTATTGTATGTTTGCTATACCTAATAAAAAGTTTTTAAAAGGAAGTGGATCAGAAGTTTTTCTAAAACTAGAGATAAAAGCAAGGTAAATGTAACAGTTTTACATTTTATTACAATCTTCCCTGGTCTTATTTGATTGTGTAATTAGCTGAAAAAGTATTACTTGACCTTAAAGCCATTTACTTCCACCTGTTCATGGAAAATGAATGAGGGTTTCTCTACTCTCCTACCTCCTTTTGTGGCACATTCCAGGGTCTTAGGAAAAGAATTTTTTAGTTTTATTTTTCTGAGGATATTGAAGCAGTGCTAATATGTTGGTCAACTCTAAGTGTTAGCAGACTCTCCAAATATGAATGGAAGAGATGCAGATGTGAGAGAACAGGCTGCCTTACACAGGAGATTTGCAGATGAATGACTCCAGACCCTTCCATAGTCTACTTCACCAGTTCCTCTTACAGTGTACATCCTAAGGCTGGGTAATGATGTCCAACAGACTTAAAGTCTTTTATTCACATACCCCTCAAAAGAACTTAAGAAAAAAATAATAACCGCTCCCTGATATTTAAATGGACACCCAAAGGTGTTCAACAGTTTATTTTTGTAAAAAGGAAGTAGAAAATATTGAATATTTTATAAAGTGAAGATGAGGATTGACTGTAAGTAGAATATTTCATGTATTTGATGATAGTTATTAAGCATCTTATGAACAAAAGCGTGCTGAATCTGAAAGAACGGAATAGTTTTAAGCCTCTGTCTTGAACATCCTGATAGTCCTGCGGCATATTCTATTTCTAATGGGAAAAACCAACTTTACTAACCTATAATTCTCTCAGAAGCCCAAAATTCACCCCAATTCAGGCCCAAATACCCTCCTTCTGAAGGCATATTTCACCTATATCAGAATATGTATAAGAACAAAGAAGGACAAGACAAGACAAATGCTATGGATTTAGTCACTGATTTAAAATTTTCTTTGCCTCCTCAAAGTCTTTTACACCCCAGAATATATACTGTAGTAGATTTGGGATGGTAGCACATGCAAACTCAGTCTTCATCTCAGACAAAAAAGTTTTGTAAAAGATTCTGTGTGAAACTTGAGAAATTAGAAGTTTTTTCCCTAAAGTTTTCTATGAATATTTATTTCTTAGAAAGTCTTTGAAGTTTGAAGTCCGCTGTGGTGGATATTTAAACAATTAGCCAAAATGAACACATGTTCTGGCCCCCTTGGATTTACATGTAAATAGCCAAGGAAGCCAACCTGGTAGAAGGTTACATGCATAGTGTGCCTTCCATCTTTTTGATGGAAAGATACACATCTTTATTGTTGATATATAAACACTTTTAACAGGAAGAAAATGGCGTAATAGAATGCAGCATAAAATATACTTTTATATATTGAATTTTAATATATAATCTTTCAAAAATATGCCCATAAAAATATCTAATTAGCTAGTTTAGTAAATTTCAGTTCATTTCATTTTATAAGGTTAGGAGGATTTGGGAAATTATACATTAGAGCTGTCATTTAAAAATAACATTCATAAATGTGTGTAGTAATACAAAAGCTAGTGTCTTTTATGAATAAAATTCCATTACAAACTTTATTTTTATAATTATATACGGTTATCACAAAGACTTCCACTGAGCAACTTTATAAATTAAAATTTTTTTAAGATAATCAGGATAAACAAAATATTTTACCTTATACTATAGAATCTGAAATTACATTTTTATGTTGTTTTAAATTAAGCTTTATACTTGCCTCTCAATAATCGGATAACCCAGTTTTCTATTGGTGTACTTTCATTTTTAGAATTTCTCTGAGTCACACCCATGTCTGACATAACAGTGGTGAATTTCGACAAAACATCTTTATTGTTAATGTTAAAGAGTCCAAACTTAAATTATGTATTACTAAAAGGGAAACCATTTAAATGATCTCATTGAACTTTAAAAAAAATAGGGTTTCCTTCATAAAAGGCATAAGCACTAGAACTTTGTTTCTCAAAGAAGTTTCTCTCAAACCTCTTCCTGAGCGTGGATTTCTGCCACAGAGGAATCTCATACTGATAAGCATCCTAAGTAATTCACAAGTACACTGAAGTGTGAGAATTGCTAATCCAGAGCAACATTACTTAACTGTGCATAATCCATGATGGAAAGAGGCAACCCTAGTCCTTGGTGGAAGACTGTAAATAATAAATTAACAACATAAAATGATTTGTCCAAGAGATATACCCCTTTCCTTACATCTGAATTATAGTAGCCTGATTCAAGTTTCACTGTCCTGTCTTTACACTATGAAGTTTTTTTTTTTTAAAGATTTTATTTAATCATTTGAGAGAGAGAGCATGAGAGAGAGGATGAGAGGAGAGAGGTCAGTGGGAGAAGCAGACTCCCTGCTGAGCAGGGAGCCCGATGTGGGACTCGATCCCGGGACTCCAGAATCATGACCCGAGCTGAAGGCAGTTGCCCAACCAACTGAGCCACCCAGGCGCCCTACACTATGAAGTTTTATCCTCATTGCTTTACAAAATATCAAATATTTTTATTGCTTATTACAAACTGCCTGCAATTCATACAGAATATTTATAAACTATTTACCTAAATTGCCATAGAGTGTTGAATAAACTACTATAAATAATTTATATTTACTAATTTTTATTTTATTTTTTTAAAAGATTTTATTTATTAGACAGAGATCACAAGTAGGCAGAGAGGCAGGCAGAGAGAGAGGGGGAAGCAGGCTCCCCGCTGAGCAGAGAGCCTGATGCGGGGCTCGATCCCAGGACCCTGAGATCATGACCTGAGCCGAAGGCAGAGGCTTTAACCTACTTAGCCACCCAGGTGCCCCTATTTACTAACTTTTAAATAGAGATCCCTAGTGGTGTGCTAAATAACAAATTTGAATATTTTAGTTCAGTAAAATGGAACCAGTAAAAGCTCTGATTTCACAAATGAAGTGATCTGAAATGAGTGTGTCAGCTTGGGGACCAAGCACACTGCAGTAGGGTGAATAGCACATTTCTGTCTCACGTTCCTCCTATAAAGCAAAGGCTGGCTCTGATCTCACTCTTCCCACAAACCTTCATGCACAAAACTTGTGTGTCAGTGACACGACAAGTTCATTTTGATTGTAATGGGCCATATTCTTGTCTAGTACATCATTTGTGAAACTCAAGTTGGCTATTATAATGCAGCAGGTTTGTAAATAACATTTATGAGTGATCTCTATGAAATGGATTCCTTCTTTCCCTTTTCATTATAAGAGGAAACTTTATTGCAGAGTAGAAAGTGCATTGTCTGAACTCATCAACACCCTCTCTATCCCTCCCCTCCCCAATTTGTTGCAGACCAGGATGAAAGAGCAGCTGAGCTCAGCAGGGAGCAGAATGAGAAAACCATCCGGAGCACGCAGACCGCGCTCCGCAATTTCCGAGAGTTCCTCATCTCCAAGTATCCTTCTGAAACAAGAGAGATTTATGTCATCCCTTGCAAGGAGTTGGATGCCTACCTGGCCTCTTTCTTTGTGGATGCCAGGCAGAAGGATGGGTCCGAATATGAACCTAACAGCTTGGCCAATTACCAGTGTGGACTTGAACGGTACCTAAAAGAACATAGGTATGGCTACAGTATCACCAGGGATAAGGAATTCAAGCGTTCCCAGGAGGCCCTGAAACAGAAGCAGATTGAACTCCGCTGCAAAGGAAAAGGAAATAAGCCACACAAGTCCATGAAGCTCACCTTTGCTGATGAGCTCATTCTGCGGAAAAGGGGACTACTAAGCCGCTATAATCCTGAGGGTCTTCTCAACCTTGTCTGGCTCAACAACACGAAAGCTTTTGGGCACTGCACAGGCTTCCATGGATCTACCTTGAAGTGGGGTGATATCCGGCTCCGGGTAACAGAAACAGGGCTGGAGTACTTAGAGTGGATGGGTCAAGACACTGGTGACCTGAATGCCAAAACCAAGAGAGGGGGGACAGACTCTCGTGTGTATGCCACCCAGCACGCTCCACAGACCTGCCCTGTACAGGACTATAAGGAGTATGCCCAGCGCCGGCCTCCTGCCATGCGCTATGAGGATGCTCCTTTCTACCTGTCCATCAAGCCAGTCGTGAACTTGGCAGCTCTGCATTGGTACAACTGCCAAGCCCTTGGGAAGAACAAGCTGGCCAAGATGGTGAAGACCATGTGTGAGAAGGGTAACATCCCTGGCAGAAAAACCAACTTCAGTGTGTATCAGAGCTGTAGCACCTTGTCCGAGGCCCAGAGCAACCAGCTGGTGCTCATCTGTAACAATCTGAGCCAGCAGGCTGCCCAGTCGGTGGCTGGACACTCCAACAGTGGCAATTTCATCGTCTCTGCTTCCTATGACTCTTCCTCAGACACTGCTTGACCAGGTGGCTTGAGCAAGACCCCAATTTGGTTACTGTGTCCAGAGAAACTGTGATTATACACTGCTTCTCATTCCCTTTCCTCCGCCCTCAGTATTAACTTTATAAAAATATAAACATATAATATATTTTTCTTTTTACAAATAAGCCAATGGAGATAGTTTAGTATTGCTAACATAGTATTTATAGGCTTAACACAAATGTACTTGTGGGTGATTAATTGTAATTGCTGTTACAGATGACAAAACCATAGTGGTTCTCAGGCAACACGAAGTAGAGAAGGAATTCCGTTTTTAAAGAACTGTCAGAAAAGTAACTGAAAGATATCCTAGACACTTGTGTCCTCAATTCCTGCTTTCCTTCCCACCCCACCTCTCATTTTAGTAAAGTTAATAAATGGCTTTATTTTTTTAATTTTTAAAATTTTATACTTATCAGGAGGAGACAATATTAACTCTACTGCTTACACATAACTGTATCCAGTCACATCAAGAATATGAAAGTGTTGATATAAGCTCAACAAATTATCTACATACTTTTTTTAGCTGAATTAGAATTTTAGCTCCTGTGCCTCATTTTTTGTAATGTCTGAAAATCTAGATGTTTAGCTAACATCTTTTCTTTTGGGGGCAATAAAGCTGCCATTCTCTTTGGAAGATACATAATTTTTAAATAATATGCAAAGTCCAATATTGTGGCGAAAAAGACTGTTAATAGCTCATTTTTACTGTTGTGTTTGAACTTGGATAGAATGTTTTTTGTTCCCTAAGAAATCCGTTAAAATGAGGTGTGATTTTCAGATTTACAAAACTACCAAAGCTTTGAAAATGTTCCCAAGCGTTAGATTGTATATCAAACATAAAGAGAAGGTAGAGAATGAGAGAGTCTTATTAAAAATCCAGAAGCACTAGTCAAGACAACAAAAGAGCCCTACTCTTCAAAGCTCAGATCCCCTGAATTATTTATTTATAAGCATTAAACTTCAGTCTCTTTTCCCTAGGAGATTACTTGACTCTGTAGTTGAGATCAAAAGAATATTGACACTCATTTTGAGTAACAACATTTTGTTACCAGATTTAGATAAATTCAAAGCATTCTTGAAAATGTGTAGAGTTTCTTTTACAGTAAATATAAATTTATCTGTGATACCCTGCAATTATTATAATAATAATTTTGGTTAAACAACCCATTGTGGTGGTTTTTCCAAGGTCTTTCTTTTCATGTCTTGAAGCCTGTGGTATATTTTTAGTTAAGATCCTTCAATAACAACGTAAGTTTAGACACTAGGACGACAATAAAGTTGAGCTAGGTTCCTATCCTGTATAATCATGAACACATAAAAAACCCAAGTCTTAAGAGCTTTACTGGATTCTATTGGGAAGTATTTGTTCTTCAAGGCAAACTCATAATTCACATTAGCAGGAGGGTAGGTGTTATTTTATGTATTAATTTATCATGGACTAGAACAAATTTCATTTTGATTTGCTTTGTTAAATTATCACATTAGCTGATATGTAAATTATCACATTAGCTGCCATGGCTAGGCAGCATTTTCCAACACTAGCTCATAAACACATAAAGACCCATTCCTCTTACGCTGTGACCTCTCCTTTGGCTCTAGAGTAGAAACTCTGCTGTGGACTTTGTGTGGTGGAATCCACTTTACTTTGCAACTTTTCCTCCAGAGGGAGGCATCCAAAAACAAGAAGAGGGGGTTGGAGATATTTTTGCTTTATTGTTTTACACTAACAATGATGATATCCACCATTTTTTGAGCTGGTGTGTTTACCAGCACTGTGCGAAGTGACTTACTACATGCATTATTTAGATAATAGTTACTAACTGTATGAAAATTAGAAAATTCAGATAAGCATAAGAAAACAAAATATATACTCCTGAATCTGCTGGCCAAAATAACCACTGTTAATATTTTGGTAAATATTTCTTTAGACATTTCAATACATATATATTTATTTCTATATATATTATCTTTAATCCTTTCAATCCTTGAAAGGGTTAGTTATCTCCATTTTATGTTGAGATCAAGAGAAATCAGTTAGCTTATAGTTAAGGAAATGGTAAACTGTCATCTGACTGCGAAGTTTTTTTCTGTTTATCTTCCTTATTTCCAGCTCCTAGTCAGTTTCCAGTGATTTGAGCCAGAAGTGGGGACAAGGTGTCTTCCCATCTCTCAAGGCTATCTAATTAAAAGGAATGCTTGAGTGATCTTTCATGATGGCACACTGTGCTCCCTAATGTCCCCTCTTCTCTTCATTTTGAACCACAAGGCCTCTTTCTCCCAAGTTCTCTTTACAAAACTTTCCTTAATCTATGCCTGGTTTGTAAGTGCACAGGACAGCTTACTGTAAAAGAATTCTGTTTTTAAAAAACAAGGTTGTTTTTAATGGGTTACCTCTCATGTTTAAATTTTTTTTTTCTGTGAAACATTTAAATTGTGATTGTGTATTTTATTTTTGCATTGACATACTTTAAAAATTCTTAATATGTTTTTGATAGCAAAGTAAGTTTCTGGTAAGGAAGAAGGGCAGTCAGTATGTACTGAGAAAGCTGAAGTGGGAGACTGCATCCCTCCAAGTGTTTATTGAGGTACTACTAAAATGAAAGTCTCTCCTATTTCATCTTATGCATTTTCATTCAGAAAAACACAGTTAAATTGAGAATGTGAGTTACTTTTTATTTATTATATTTTGCTTTTATAACTCAAACCAAATAGGAACATTGTGATCTAGATTTAGAAAAATTTTCTGAAGAATGACTTGGTAGAAGTTTAGCTGAACTGTAGTATCTCTTTGGGTTAATGAAATAACAAAAAGTTATCAGCAACTACCTCTAAATTTTGTGTTTTTATATAAACAATACTGAAAACATGCTACTGCCAGATGCCATTTTTGTTATTTTAGCTTAAAGAAAGTTAATGTTCATACTGTGGCAGTGGTACATGCCAAATATTGTACATGTTCTTTAGTGAAAATTCAGCAGTCCAGCGGGTATTTACTACAACTGAATGTGCTGCCTTCCCAGGCAATCTTGTGGTTCATACAATAACAAACCATATTTATAAATTTTACACTTTTAGGTCAGTGTAAGGTCATGTAAAAAAGAGACAGTGCCCCTCACATGACTCCGGAAGTTTTGCACTGTCCACAACAAAAATGTCAAACCCATCTATCAGCATTTAGGGGATATACCTGCAAAATTCAATCTTTGTTCTATGTGAGTGACTGGCTGTTGAAAACCATGAATGGTAGCAATTTTTCTCCAAAAAACCATAATGTCTGAAAAAATTAGAGCTATTCAGGATATTTATCCAACAGAGCTTATTCTTAAAGTTCCAGTTCGCATCATGGGTTGTAGGGGTGGTCTGACTATGATTTATAATATACCCTCTACTTAAAATACTTATTTTTTAGATATTTTTCCCTGCGTTAAATTTTCCCTGTGTTAATTCACTTTTCCCTATGTTAATTTACTTCCTGATGCACAAAGAATAGCCTGCATTTTTTCTAGGGTAGATCAAATCTCTTTGGTTTTTCAGTTGGGTCATTGTTAACTAATACTTCCGTCACATTAATTTGTCCAGGTCATAAGGCTTAGCTTTTAGATGTCATGAAATCAGATGACTTCACTGAGATGAGAATTTATAGTCCTATCAACAAATACTTGAACACCTATTGTCTAGACACTGGGAAGGGTACAAAGATGTGTAAAATAGTCCCTGCCCTCAAAGAATTTATAAAAGATACTGTAATAAAAGTGTCATTTCATTTTTTTGAGAGCTCACCAAAAAGTCTGCCAATACGGTTTTGCATCATTTCCCAAACTTTGTACTCTTGCAGTTTGTTTATTATTCAGCCATTGAAAATGTTGGTTTGCTGTGGAATACCTAATACTGCTTTGAGTATTTTGAGGAGAATCTTCCTTAGAGCCTGTTTTAAAATCAGCATGAAGGCAAAGCCATTCCTGCACCATCCATTGTGTCACATAGGTGCACACATGGATAAGAAGGTGTAGATTGTCCT